TCTGTAAGTTAAAGCAGGGCCACTAAATATGGAAATTTTTTCCTGGCTGAAATTTGCAGTTATTTTGAAATTAAAACAAATTGGTTCATTCATCCATTCTCCAATCTTGAGATATTGTTTAATTTATATTTCAAGACTATGATGGAAGGAGTTCAGGGACACTTTATGAACTTTGGAAATTGTTTTTAATAAAAAAAAAGTTAAATGCCTGTTGAAAGAATAGATCATAAAAAAACATTGAGTCATACATTTGCTAAAATACACGGACAAACTATACCAAAAAGGAGTTATTTTCCTGATATACAATAAATGACTATTGCACCAGTAAATTGAAACTAATGAGCAGATCCAACGTTTTCTAAATATTTTAAGACTACCCAGAATATTTTTTTAGTTTCAACACAAATGTGTTAATCAAATTTCTAAAAGTATGAAAAAGGAAATAGTCTAAGTTCATTTAAGTTAGACATGATGCTGAGGATTTGAGTTGGGTTACTGATTACCAACAGTGACATTACAAAGCAATACTGACAATAATGAAACCTTCCCCATGACAACAAAATTAATGGTTAAGATAAAGGCAAAGCATTGTCACAGTCTGTCCACCTTACATCATGGGCTTAACAGAAAAGATTCAGAAATAACACCACTATGGAGAAAATCTCTGCAGTGTAAGGTCTAACAGGGAGAAGTATGTGACCAAGAACTGCATGTACTCCATTCTCTGCAGCTGTGGCAAATAATATAAAAATGAAACAAGCCACCTGCTAAAAGCCAGGAGGAAAAGTTGTAGCAAGAGGTAAGACAATGAAATCAGACATGGCTGATTATGTATAGAGAGAAAAGGATAGTCATCAACCTCTGTAGAATGAAGTGAAAATACTGGACAAGGAAGAACAGTAGAAAGTTAGATGCCTGAAAGAATCAGCACATATGCTAGGCTATCATGACTTCCTTAGTAGCTTAGAAATAAAAACAATTTGAGAGCTGCAAATAAAGAAAGAAAAACAGATGACAGCAAGTCTTCAATAGCAGCAAAACATGATGGGCAACACTAAACAGCAGGCAGGTTAGGTTTAAGGCTTCAAGTTTACCACAGAGAATAGCCTAGTGGAATGAAGCATTGGTTCATGAATTTGGTGACATAGTAATTGTGAGATCAATCTCTGGGCTGGGCAGTCTGTACTCAGAGTCAGTGGAAACGGGCAAGCAATAACTGAGCAGTACTAAAAACAAGAACTAGAGACATACTAAAGCAGTGGGTAGAAAACAGTCTACCCAGCTCCTGATTAAATAAAGGGTTCGGTTCAGAATTTCCTCTAGGTTACCCAGATTGAAATACACCTTATGAAGACTGGAGGGCACAACAACCAAAATGCTGTTATAACAAAGATAAGGACAATAGTCCAAATATAGTATAAATAATAACTCCATATCCCAGAAATTCGGATAGAAATGGCAGTTATTAATGACCCAAATGTTCCTTTGCTTTACTTATCCTATAATTTGTAAAATTATTTAAAAAATGTATATAAATGTCCACTCATCGCAACCATTGATGTTATCTTAAAATATTCATAATCATTCAGAAATACATTTTCATCAATTTTAGTAGTTAAAACAAACATCAGAGTTTAAATATGCCTGAGTATAATTAACATTCTTTTTAAAATTAACATCTTATTCCATATAGTTCTTGGGAAAAAGTTTGAGGTCAGCATGTTCTTGAATGTTTACATTGTTCTGTTAGGTAATCATTCATTTTCAGCTGATTCTTATATCCACAGATAGAAAAATGCCTGATAATAGTAATCTGATCAAATTAAGCAAGTCATACATCTACAGATGGGAATGGAGAGAGAGAAATATCAAATAACCTGTTCAAGAAAGAGAGAGTAAAATCCAGGAGGGAAAGATTGCCGAAATAAATAAAATGCCAATAACCATCCCTGTCCAAATTAAAGGAGAAAGAAAAAAGCCACATTGTTTGGCTTTCCTATGAAAAATGTTTTCCCTACCCTGTATACAATTCTCACATTATAATTGGCACAACTAAAATTGATGGGTCTGCTTTAAAAAAGAAAAAAAAAAGTTGTAAATTTTTTTTATAGACTAGCATTCATTAGACCTTCCTCAAGCTACAATATTTGTTAGAATAAGAAAAAAAATTTTTTTTTAAATTAATTCAACATAGGCATCTCCCTAATTCAATGAAAAACAGCATACAATGATGAAAAAAAAATTCTATTGTCTAAATGTTTGTTATTAATAGGAAAGGCCAAAGTATTTTTTGATTATTTTATTAAATTTTTTCATCCTTTCTTTAACTATACAGTAATTTTTAAAAATTAAATACTTTCAGCAATTTAATATGTTATTGATTTTTTTTTTTTTAAAGGTGCTTTAGCTTACATTTGAAAATGATTTCTGGAAAAATAAAATTTAAAATACTAACAAGTTGAGAGTGAGATAAAATTTCATAAAAAAGGTACGTCTCATAAAATTTTATGGTATTATTTTGATTATTAATTTTTTATATCTGTTATGAAAAAATTTCATAACTAAGATAATATAAAAATAATACCATAAAATTTCATAAGATAGGTACCTAATAATATTTACTTCTCTCATTTTTATGAAATGTGATTTTTTTTTTAAATATGTTAATTTTTTCTTATTTTTAATATTGTTTTGTTTCCATCCCTAGAATTTAAACTAAAAAAGAAAATAATAATTACAGTATGTCTCTTAGTGAAAAACAAATGAATTATATTTTAAAAACTAAATTTAAAATATTTAGTGAAATAGTACATAAAAAATAAAACTTTTGAAAATGAGATGATGTTGGCGGTAGTCAAAGTCAGTCAGAAATTCAACACATGTTCGCAGTATGAACACAAAAATTTCCTGACAGCAGTCATCAGGGGAAACAATTCTTAAAACATGTGACATTAATGATTCATGTCATGTACAACCATCCATATACAGTAATGCCTTGAGATACAAGCATATCGACATACTTTTTTTTTTCTTGGTTTTTTAGATACAAGAAAGTTTCAGTTAAGCATGTGCGAGTTGGCACAGTGAGCACCAAGCTTTGAGAGTATTCCCACTCACAGTACATATGTTCACCTCACTCTGGAAGGATCTCCATTGTGTCATTTTTGCCATTATTCTGCAAAATTCCTTTAGTGACACCATGGGTCCAAAGAAAGTAAGTGGTGTAAAGAGCAGTGGTGAAAAGCTGAAACACCTGATTTTACTTGAAGTAAAGCGGGAAATTAAGTGATAAAGTTAATTTTCAGTATCATAGATGAGGCTACGGTAGCAGTTGCTAGGCTAGCTGCTGTTATCCTTCTTTCTCATCTCCACCAGTTGGAAAAAAGATTGTTTTTATGCACACTCAAAAACAGCGTAAAATTCATTTTTTAAAAGAGAGGTTTCACAGATTGTATTAAGCTTCTAAATTTATGATCTGTCAAGATAAATCTATTTAATAACAGCATTCCTTAGTCAGAAATGATTGGAACTTAATTTTAAAAGACTTAGAAACTGTCACATTTTGTATTTAAAATTGAAAAAAATTCATTTTTCATTGGAAAAAATATTTTCGCTTCAGACAATACTGTCCTCAACTTATTATAAATGCCACTAGAAGCTTTTCTAATTAAATGATGCCTTAGTTTTATTGGAGGCATGTTGGTGTAATGGATAGTGGCTCAGATTGAGGAATCAAAGAGCTGAGTTCGAATTCCATTACATTCACTTACATGCTAATACTCTTGAGAGAGGTAGGAATCCTCTTCTCCCTCCAGCTATGAGTAAATAGCTGGACAGACTGGGTTCTATAGCCTTGGATGGCAACTGGTCTACTGCAGAAAGATATGGCAACCCGCTGCGGGGGAAAAAAACGTGCCTCATCAGTCATGTATTGAAAGATACATGATGACCTAAGTGCGTATCACGCATGGCTCATAACTGACTTAGTTTTATTGGGTTTTGAATAAATAAAAAAACAAAAAGAAAAACAGCAATTTATATTATTCAAAAACTTCTCCTTTTAACTAATATTACCAATAAAAGAAACAGTGTTGAATTTCTCAAGTTTCCATATGTAGGAGGGGTTTGTAACAGATGTAAAAAGAAAATATATTTAGCATGTTTTTCAAAAAAAAAAAAAAAAAAAAACATTCATGTCTAAAATGATTTCATTCATATATTTTTTTTTTTTTTTTTACCAAAATCATTCATTTGTGAATAAGTTCTGAAAGTTTCATTAAAATCTGACAATTATTTGATTCTTTTTTCAAGAATTTCCAAAACACATTTTTAATGCCAAAAAAGATGCTAAATTTCCTAATACTAATCTTTGGTGGAACTGCAGACAAAAAGATTTTTAACCAAAACTTTTAACATGCTAGAAAAGATGAAAAAAATTTAATAAAATAAACTTTGGTCTTTCATCTTAATAAACATTTTAATGATAAAACTGTTTTCATTAAGTTTGGAGCATTTTTTTCATCATGGCCTGTTTTCTTTTGTGTGTGAATTCGTAGAGATACCTAATTTAAAAGTATAGTCATGTTCATAATATAGGGTCAATATTATGAACAGGACCCTCCTTAAAAAAAAAAAAAAAAAAAAAAACATTAATATTCTTCAATTCTGTCATGAGGAAGGTCTAAGGAATACTAATCTACAAAAATTATTCCTTTTTATATTTTATTTTTATGAGTGGCCTGGTCAATTTTACTGTGTCTTTATGGGAAATGCCACTTATTTTAGATAGTTGTTTGTGCGTTATTAAAAATCCCAATCAAAATGACTAAGCTCAAAACTTTTGAAAGTGGTTAAAAAATAAATTTTTCTAGTATTTCATTACTTTCAACAGAAAAGCAACAAATACCTATAAAAAAAATAATAGTGATATTTTGTTACTATTACAAAAATAAGAAGGCAAACAACGATCATCATAGGATTGAAATAAAAACAAGATCAGGATGCCAACACTGTAAGGCAAGATTAAGAATGACAAATGCAGTAAAAGCACAAGAGATTTCATGAGAGAGACTGTCAGTTTACTAATAACAAAAATGTAGCAGCAAAAGTCTAAGGGATATCCAGAGCACAGAAAAGTGACAAAAATTTACTCTTTTACAGTTATGACAATAGTGCATGTGAATTTTTAAAATCTTAAATGTTTCCTTAATTTACTATATACAAATATTGTACAACCAAAAATAACTTAAAAGAAAAGTTTATGTTTACTTAGAATTTGAGGAGTTGGGTCAAGAACATTTCCGTACCACAGCACAAGCAAATGATAATATTTGTAATTACTATTAACGAGAAATAGAATTAAGTTATCTTTGCTTCAAAATGAAAAAAGACATTTAGTTTTCATAATCACACATTTTTATTTAATTATATGCAAGCAATATCATGTAATTTTTAGAAAAAAATGAACAAAGAAACAGATACATTGATAATTCACAAGAAGGTATAATCTCAGACGTAAAAGGAATAAGAATAATAATATGGTATGCATCATAAAAGCAAATATGAAAAATAAGCAAGGCATTCTTGAAAAATAGTAATGAGAACGAAAAACAGTAGCTTTCTAAATCGGACAGTAAGAAAGGAAATAGTTAGGGAAGTCAAAGATCGTTATCATTGCAAAAACCAATATAGAAAGGTAAGACGGGAATTATAATCTGCTAAAAATGGGGATCCTTCAAATCTTTATATATCACTCTGTATCTGATCAAAAGAGGCAATAGCACCATTTTGACTCTAATTGAAAGTAGAAATATAATTAAATAATCGCATTAAAAATAATAGCTAAAATAAAAAAAGATAACTATAAAGAAAAAAAAAAGCTCCAACGTTGTCAAGAACAGACATATTATCAATCCTCCTTCATCAACATCATTAATGATTAATTAGAGGACATTACCATAATTAACAAGTATAGGAGAAAGAAAGCAATAAGAGAAACCCATCACAGTAATAACTAAGAGTAAAAAAGAAAAACAAACGAGAGGATAATCATACAAAAAAAAAAAAAAAAAAAAAGACTTGAACGAGTACAAGAGAAAAAGCATCATCATCAAGTAGAAGAGAAGCACCGTCATAATCAAAAACACAAAAGCATGAAAAAGCCGCCGCCATCATCATCATATTTCTTAAAATAAAGAAAAAGTACAAGGTCTGAGCGAGTGGCAACAGCATCAAGATCATAAATATAATATAGAGAGAGTAGTACTAGGGAGAGAATATCATTATCTTCGCCGAACGTCTCATAAAGATAGTGGCGGTGGGAGACGCTCCTACGCAGCGCCCTCTAACAGCGACAAACCAAAACAGTTTCTCACTATGCTCAGATCTCACCTAAATCCGACCTTGCCGCGCATCCCTTCCTAAAAATAGAAGATTTTCATTTTTTTTTTCAGAGAATCAACATTTAAAAAAAAAAAAAAAAAAATTAACAGGTTAAACGAGAAAACTAACAACGAAGGCGAAAGGTGAGTGTGTTTGTTTTTCCAATGGCGAAAGAAAGAAGGTTTTAGAACGAGCAAAACCGAACAAGACAAAACAATGGCGGACAGTAAACAGAGAACGGCTTCCGTTGGCGCTGGCGCATGCGCAGTGCGACACTCGGGGGGTCAATAAAAATAATCGAAAACAAAAATATTTTGTGAAAACAAATTGGGAAGTTTTGTTGTTATGCTTACAAAAAAAATATTTCAATCCGATCTTTAAGAAAAAAAAAATTCATTTAAATATATTTTGATGCTATACTTAGATCGCTCATTTTTATTTTAGAAACTTTTTACGGTTGGATTACTTTTCTAATACAATTGTTTAATTTTAAACTACAAAAAACTTTAATTTAAATTTTAAACTCATTTCCAATAATTTAAAGAAAAAACTAAAATAAACTATATAAGTGATGATATTAAATTATTTCCACTTTTTCATTTATTTGTTTTGTTTTACAACTAAGAAGACTTACTAACTTCCAACGTATTTTGGGCCCAAAATGTTTGTCTTGATAGTTGAGGATCTGTATATTGAATTTATTTTTGTTAAAACAAAACAACGTGAAAACTTAAAGAATTTTTACGTGATAATGAAAAATAAAATAATTGGCTTATGGAAATGTGTTGATAAATCTTAGAATGGAAAAAGAAACTTTTAAAAGCGATTGGTTTATTTTATTGTGATTAAAATAACTTCGAATTAGTAACTTATTTTTTTCTTTTTTTAAATGTTTAATTTTATAACAACTTCACCGAACTTTTGAATTTTTTGTAACTCCTTTGTATTTGTAATGAATGTGGCATGGGACAAACTAAACAAATAAAATGTAACATTCACTACTAAAAAGTTTATAACTTCATTACGTAAAATTAAGTCAAAATTGCAGTTTTATGTTAAAAAGCAACATTAAATATCCATTTTACTAACGAAAAATTGGTATTAAGTATGTTAAAATGACAAAAACATTTCTCAAATGATCAAATACAATCGTTTTAAAAGTCCTAAGAAATCCAATCTAACAATGTATATTAAAAATTACACAATACATTTTTTCTTTTTAAATAAACTTCCGTTTTCACTTTTCAAGCAATAACAAAATTGCTACTATATTTTTTAACTCATTATAACCAGTAACAATAACACGTTGGTTAGAAAATGAATAGCTGAGCGGTTAGCGAACTATGACATACACTGTGAATAAAAATGATATTTTATAAAAATATTTTTAAATGTTATCAATCAATAACGTAAATAGAATAATTTAGCGATAATAAAGAATTATTTAGATGCCTCAATCGTGATATAACTGAAGCAATATCGCATTTTTAGAGCATTTAAATTCTTAGAATTGATATATTTACATACAAGAATAAATAAAGCGAAATAAAAGATAGGCGGAGGGGGAAAGATGGCGACTGCATACAACAAACAAGGTATAGAAAATGTAGTCGGGCAATTTACTACACTTCACTGAAAATCTCTCTCTCTTTCTCTTTTTTTTTTTTTCTTTTTCGTGTAGATTTGAGGTGCAGATTTTCCTTCAAGCTTTGTTTTCTTTTTTACGTTCATTTTTTTTTCTAACTGATCCTTGTCGTTTCAATTGTTTTCCGTGTATGATCCATTTTTTTTTTTATATGGGCCGAGAAAAATCAAACATTCGATATAAGGAAAGCATTTCTGGTCATTAAAGAGCGAATGGCGCGAATCCGAAGAGGAAGGAGCAATGGCGCGCGCGCAAACTCGTACGCAGTCGCACATGCAATTTGTGTCATTTTGACTGACAAACCATGCGCACTTGGCAGTGAGTGGCCCAAAAAGTTTTCTAGTCCTTTTTTTATGTTTATTCACTTCTAGAGTCTTAATAATAATGATGATAATAATAACAACAACGAAAACAATTATTGTTAAACACATGCCATGGTGCATAACACATACATATACACAATGAAGCAGTTAGATTTTTATTTCTCTTCTTAATATTGGCCACTTTTTGTACAATTTAAAAATTTCGTCCCAATCAATGCAATTTAAAATTGTAAGAGAACCTACTTATAAAAATTTAAAAAATACTATAAAATAATTTCATATAAAATTATGTATAAATAATACTAAATTCAGTTCTATCTTTTTGTAAAAATGTTTACTTTTTCTACATTTTTTATGTAAAGTTTTGTTAGTTATTTCTATTAGTAATAATAGCTAACTAAATAAAAATATAATTAATCATTACAAACAAACAAATAGCTTAAATACTAAAAAATAAATGAAAGTAATTCTAAAAACAGATTTGGAATAACTACTGATTTGATATACCTATGTGCTGAAGGTGATGTAGAAAAACATTGAAATTTAACAATTAAACAAATACTTTTCATTCAAATATTGTTTTTGTTATGTTTTGGTTTTCTTCTTGTTTTTTTTTTGTCTGTGTTCTAAAACTGGCACTAATTTTAAAGTTAAAAATACATATAGTCTTTGATATATCTTTTAAAACAATTTTATATAAAGCCTGAAAATTACATATTAATTAACATATATATTAATTGAAACATAATGATTAATAAATATACATTGGGTTATTTTATACCTTTTAAAATTTTGTTTTATTTCATATTGGCAAATGTATAAGACAATTTGGAAAACTTATCTTAACAGAAAAATGGATTTTATTTCAACCAAATCAGCTATGCACAGGCAGAATGTGAATCACATTAGGCATATCAATGCTGGATTTTTTTATTGTTTTAACTATTTCTTTTTTAGATTAGATTTATTAACTTCAAGTCACTTTTTATTTATATGATAATGGAAATAGTGCTTATTTATACATTTTTGAGTACTGGTAATTTACTAATTTATCGATGAATCTTCTATAAATTATTCCAAGTAGTATCATCTTCTCATTTGAATAATTCCTAGGATAACAAGAAAGATCATCAGACAGTAGATCATTCCAATTTTGTTTTTTTACATATACATTTTTCTATTCATTTCGATGTTGTAATAATTGTTCCATGTATCAATACAAATAATAACTTTTGGAAAACTGCCTTCATTAAACAAATATCTAATCGTTTTGAAATGATACTAATGAATATAATATATGGATGCATCCCCCCATGCATCATTACAATTTACAACCGAACCTTATATCAAGTAGAAAAAAATATTATTTACACCTATAGCTTATCTATTTTTTTAATCTCTATAGACACACTGGATGTGTGGGTTGTGTAACTGATATCTGCAAGAGACGTGGAATTGGAGAATCAAGTTCAAATTACAGGTTAGTCTGTTTTGCACTTATGTCCTTGGGGAAAGGCATGAACCCATTTCTTCTCTCACTCCCCAGTTCTGTGTTAAATAGCAAAGTAAACTGGACTCTCTAGCCTTGAATATCAACCAATCTGAGAGAAGGAAAAACACTAAATTTCAAAGAGTCGTGAAGGCAACAAGAAACCATTCCACTATCTTTCCAAAGAATACTTGGCAATTCACAGACAATAAAGTAAAGGAATCTTTGGAGGCTCATGATTGCTGATTTCTGGAGGGTCATAGCCCTTTGTTTTATGCACTTGATGAAAAGCCTCATTATCTATAACTGTCAAGAACTTCACAAAAACCATGACAAGACAAGAAAATTTTCCCTTTTTGTTATTGTCATTGCTTTCTTCTTGACTATTATTTCAACTATTATAACCAAGGCACAGCCACCACAAATTTATTTCAACCTTCACAAATATTTCATCTTAATTTTTCTTTCCTTTATTTGTATTAATAGCAGAAATGAATATCTTTCAAGCCACTGAGATCATTAAAGGATATATGAATAGTAAACTCACTTATTAACTTTAAAAATTAGTGGAAGGCATAAATTGATTGCATCTATTTTTTATAAACCTATTATTACAAGTTGTTTATATAACCTGTGATATGAAAAGTATGATTTATTAAATGAATACATTTACATTTTCATTTGCTCTCATGTTGGTTGGTTGATTTTGTTTAGTGGCATATCAACACCTCTATGGGTTATTTAATGCCAAAATTTAAATATTTTGGACACAATTTTATGGCTGCAACTAAATATATTTTGAACATATTTGTATGCCTTCAACTACAAATAAAATTGTATTGGTCATTTTGCTATAAAATGTATTGCTGGTATTTTTACTATAAAAATATACTTTTATACTGTCATAGTGTTTTGTTTTTGTTTGGGTGTTCACTATTTTCCCATAGCTGGGACCCTAACAGGTGTTACCACCCCGGGTCAGGGTGAACTTGTGAACAACAGCAATTAAGAGGTGGTTCCACACTCTTCAAAACCTCTAATAACCAGATCAGAGGCCTTGCTGCTGGATGTAGTTTATCATCATACCCAGGATTACATTCACTCTCATGATTCTATGAGACAGCAATTGTACAGTAGGGCACCTTGAGGTGGTGTAATGGTTAGCAAGCTTGTCTCACTAGAACAATTATAACTGAGTAATAAGTTCTATTCTCACTCGGTGCCCCCTACTTTCGTCCTTGTGCCATATCTAAGCTACACTTGGAAAATCACTATATAATGGTACAACAAAGACTGGAGAAAGAACTTGTAGGAATGAAACAATAACAATGGTTGTATTTTAGCCCTAACTACATTAGTCAATGTTTCAGGGTTTATTAGCACTGCCCACTAACTTCACCTGATTAGTTTTCTGCCATTTTCTATACTAAGTAAATTTTTCTGTTGATAAGATGAAAAATAATTAAACAATGATTAAATACAAAATTTTGCATCATTTTTACCTAAAATTTGTTTTAGCACACTTTGGCATTTAATAAGTTATGTATTGAAAGTTTGAAAAAAAAGAATTTTTATCAAATTTGGACCATCAGGGTCAGCACTAGGATCTTGACTCCTGCTTCTCTACTACATGTTGATTATTTATTTATTAGATTGTTTATTTACACCATTTATTATATTGTTTATTGGAATGGAAAACTGTTCTTTTGACACTCCATATTTGCTGAATTGTCATTGGTTAGGAATTAAAGCAAGTGTTGATGACAGAACATATATATATAACTGAACTTGGAAACCAAAATTATCCATTTTTCCTGTCTCCAATTTTCTCTCAGTTTTTATCTTCTCATTCTTTCCCTTATCCCTTCCAATGTTTTTTGTCTTTCCATGTTTTTATCAAACATAGATTAGTTTCAGATGCAAAAAAAAAAACCGAATAAAGAATGAACAAATATTTTCTCCTTCATCTTCTGTTTTCACTCTCTTTTGTTCTATCTTTCTATGATGAATGTTAATGTATCATAATTTTTACACCTTTCCATTCTTACAATCTTTTCAATCTTTCATCCTTTCTTGGGTTAAGGCTGATATTCAGCCAACAAATCTGTCTCCATGTAGTTTTATCTCCATACTTTCCTCTTCTCTCTTTACATACATACATACATATATATATATGGGTTAATGGGAGTAAAAGTTTGTCACTTAGCTGATTAATGTTACCTTCAGCATCCTGGCTCCAGAGTTTTGCAGGCAGACTTGTCCATTCACTCTTCAGAGTGTATCAGTAATTTACTGCATATATGTTTTCAATTTTTTCTTTTTTTCCTTTTATGCACATTTAACACTGGTGTAAGTTTTCTTCTGTATTCTTTGTGTGTGCTTGTTCACATACGGTCATGCACCCATTTTCATATTTGTGCATTCGCTCGCATGTGCCCAGATTTGCTCTTTTTTTGTTTTTTTTTTTTCAGCTCTTGCTGACTTTGTCTTGGTTTGTTCCGACTCTAGACAGGTGACCTATTTTTTTTTTTATTTATGGGCATTTTAGTTTTTTTGCTAGGGAAGTTGTATTTTGTTTTTTACATTTTTTATTTAAATAATTGATATTAATGCTTAAATGATAAATATTATTTTATACATACATACATACATATATATATATATATATATATTCACTGGTCTATCATTTAATTTTTTAATTTGGTTTAGTGGTATCATAAGTATTAATTATAGGATGTTAGATTTATAATTAAATTTATTTATCACTGTTAGAATTTATATGCATATGTCTGTCTTTATACGTTTATGTGTACACACAAGTACACATCTATTCACGTGCATATATAGGTGTACATGGGTACATATACACTTATGTCTGTGAAAATTCATATTAACTTTTATTTTATATTATTTCTTCTCAAATACTTTCAAATGACGCTACATTCATTTTCAAGAATTGTTCTATGTTTAGTTACACAACTGGTTTTTAATTCCTGTCTTCTCACATTTAATGAAATTAATTTCAAGTCACTCAAGATGGCGTCATATAAACGGCCAAACTAAAATTTGTGTTTGTTTATATATATTCTAAAGAATCAGTGGGTTTATTTTTATTACTTCAAAAGTTACTATAGCAGATGCTTCTTATTTGTAATAGATGCCACGCTTTTTAGTGAATAAAAATGGGCTGTCTATTTCAAATAGTAAGTGTCCACTATAATAAAGTTTGTAGTAATAAATATTATGATTAGTAAATATACTTTTTACTTAATAATAATATCATCTAAAAGGGTGAAATTAATACAGAATTTTAAGATTCTAAACTTAATAAATTATTCTTATTAAAATCTTTAAAAATGAAAACAATGCTTGTAAAACTTCATTAATCCTAGAAAAAATTGTTTTTTCTTAAGATAATAATGTCCTTAATATATCTTATTTATGAAAGCAATTAAAATTTTTTTCAATTAAATTATTTCATAGTTTTATTGCATTTTTTTATTCTACAATTGAGAGCAGATTTTTGGTAAATGGTGTTTCAGTTTGACAAAAAAACAAATTGATCATTTAAATTCTCCAAGGAGTTCTGATTTTAACTAATATAAATATGAATAGAGTAGAATTTTAATTTCTTGAAATTTCATAAAATTAAGCAAATAGAGGCAATATATATATATATATATATATATATATATATATATATAATGTATGTATGTATAAATTATTAGGAGGCATACACTACCAAAAATTGAAACCCAGACAGTTACGTTAGCAGCAAACATCATACCAACTGTACCAACTGGATGCATACTGCTGATAAGTCCCAAATATAGGATGAAACGGCCGTTCAGTCCTTTCTGCATTCTGTTGAGGTTTCTTCTAGACTTAATGAATGAATTAATTATAATTATCTCAAATCCTCCTAATAACTTATACTTGTATATCTTTGCTTGAACCAGCTTCTAATGCTCTGGATGGAGCGCCTTAGGGATAGTAGTTGTGGCTTGTGGGGGCACAGTCCTATGGGTAAGGGAAACTCTGATGAGTTCCACCATGGAATATGTGATCAAGCGGTGCTATATCGAGTCTAATTCACTACCTCTTTGTCACCAAGGCCCATTGGTACAGTTGGTATGACATTTGCCTGATAACATAACTGTCTGGGGTTCAATTCTCGGTAGTGGATGCGCACTGCTGATGAGTCCCAAATATAGGACAAAATGGCCATCCAGTGCTTTCTGTTGAGGTTTTTTCTAGACTCAATGAATTACTTAATTTTTTATTTATTTATTTATTTATATATATATATATATATATATATATTTATTTTTTTTTACCAAGTTTTTCTAAAAAAACATTTTTTAAATAATTTATTCCTTTGTGAATAAGTCCTGAAAATTTAATTAAAATCTAACAATTATTTGATTTTTGCAAGAATTTCTGAATCAATGTTTTTTTTATTGAAAAAAAGATACTAAATTTCCCGTACTAATTTTTGGCCCACCCACTAATGCAAGAAAAGTATGATTTTTAATCAAAATTTCAAATGTGCTGGGAAGGATTAAAAAATTTAATACAATAATCCAAAAATGCTTTGGCTTTCCTCTTAATAATAACTTCAACATTTTGACAATGAATTTTTTCTTTATCAAGTTTGGAGCCTTTTTTCATCATGGTATGCTCCCTTTTAGCATATTTTTGGAGGTACCTACTATAATATCATCCATGAATATGGACACTTTTGTCAATTTTTTAAAATGAAAAGTTGTTTGTCTTCTAAACCAAACATATCAGGATTTTATTATTTCTGCTGTACAACATTGAAACTATATAACCACAATATGAATATGTAGCAGCCCAAAAGTAAGTACACTCCCATGAAAGAAGTTCATTATATAAATTTGATATAGTAAGTATATTTTCACACATAACATGATTTTTTTCTTGGAGATTTAAGTGAATTTAAATATAAATATAGCAGTATACAATTT